CTGTTGAACTGCTGCTGGTGTGTACACAGCATTCCTTCAGCTGTAATTCACAAACTGAATGTTTAGGGACACATGTTCATATGGACATTTCTACTTGTTTTGATATGTGGAATTCGTGCCCAAAGTTTGTCCTCATTTTTCAGCTACATTCTGCACAGAACGGTATATCCACATCATCATAAAATAACTGACGTGACTTTAACTTATAGCCTGAGTTCTCAGAGTTCAAAGCCGAATGAATAAAGGAAAGAGTCTATGGTTCTATTACCCGATGAATTTGCAATCTCATGCGATGACTTGTAGTTACATTCACGTTAACACAGTCCGTCTGTTATTTTGCGAGCGGTTCGCCCCATGTGTTGCGTGTCTCGTCCCCCTCTACAGCCACTGCTGTGTGCTACAATCAATATATTTGTAGCTTTATGCTGCTATTATTGTTAGATAGATTGCTCCTTTCAGAGTTACTCATGTTAGAATTCCAGGATTTCACTACTTGGCGGCAGTCAAATTACTGCACTTCTGGATATAAAATTCCTTATAAAATTCGCCAAAACAATTGATCACTACTAACAGGCTTCCAACTGGAACACTTTTAACTGTAGTTGAGCAAAAGTTGCATAGAACAATTTTTGTTTATTGCTAGTGGGGTGGGACTCAGTCCCTTGTACTGAGGCCACTTCTGGCCTATTGTACCAGCCCCAGACGATAGGTGAGGGTGATTGTGGAACAATTGGTGGAATGAATATTGGCAGGGGAAACCGAAGTACTCGGAGGAAACCTGCTCCAGTGCCACTTTGTTCACCACAAATCCCACTTGACCAGACCCGGGATCGAACCCGGGCCGCCGCGGTGGGAAGCCAGCTACTAGCCGCTTGAGCTATGGCGCAGCCTTTTTACAGTAAGACTTCGTGAAGGACTTACGGTTCTCACATCGGTGATTATGATGAGTTCTATGTTCTTGGGTATAAGCTGTGTAGTTCGTTGAATTTTAACCTCTGTTTTTCGGAGGAACATGTCGCCTCAATCTTCAGGATCGAGGAATAATTCAAGCAATTAACCAGCACCAAAGCAGGTAGAAAGCAAATTCATCTGTTTACCACATGCTTTCCACCCTGGTTTTTGCTTGGTATATTCTACCCTAAAAATGAAGGCGGCATGTTTCTCCGAAACGTCGGTTTATTTTAACGGACTACACTTCATTATATCCCAGAAGATAGAATTCTCAATTTTTTTAAGGATTTCCATGTTAAAATAATAAAGAGAAATGCATAAAAAGTTTTAGTGAAAATCATGAAAGAAAGAGAAACGTTGAAAGACTTAAGTGTAAAAATCGGATGGTAATATTAAGATTAGGTTTAAAGAAATAGAATTTTGAGGATTTATGTTCGGTTAAAATGATTCAGGACAGGATCCAGAAGTGGGGTTTTGTGACCACTATAATAGGTCTTCAGGTTCCATATAAGGCAAGGAATTTGTTGATCAGGCTAGCGATTATCAGCTTCTAGGCTTCTGTTAAGGGTAACAGCTTTATTCCTGAAATTTCCTATTCCACGGAGAATCAAAGAGCGTCTGGAGGAACGCATGTAGATTTCGTATCAACGTAAATTTGTTAACCACAGCGGACTGTAACCCTGCTCATACCGCGTGATTAACTTTATCCTGTGGACTTAATGACCGACTAGCCGCTAGATTGCTGCTGGCCCTCGCCAGCACAGTGACTCTGGATTTCGAGTCCCACGGGACTCGTGACCATAGTTTACTCTCTGAAGGCTTTGGGAGATTTCAGGCAGAATCTCCTGTGGAAGCATCATGGGGACATACAGGGTGTCCGGATGAAAGGTATCCAAAATAAAATCATTATATCTCAGAAAGAATTTATTATACACATTAATGGGTTAAACCCATTACAAAGGGAAACTGTAAACTTTTTTTTCCGTATATAACTTTCTCAATAAATTTGGGGCTCCCTTCGTGGCACAACAAATATCCATACGTGAAGCATGTTTGGTGTTGTGTATGTGTGGGCCATAAAATCCGGCCCTCGCATTGCGACCTTCAATGATCTATTATGTTTAGTGTTACCGTAGCCACAGCGTCCCTTATGTGGGCTTTCAGGTGTTGAAGCTCGTTGATCTTAACCTGGTAGACAGTGGTCTTCACATAACCCCACAAGAAAAGATCCACTGGGGTTAAATCTGGCGACCTAGGAGGCCAGGCGATTGGTCCACCTCTGCCAATTCATATCCCAACCATCTCTCTGTCCAGGTGATTCCTAATATGGTGGCAAAAATGTGGCGGCGCATGCGCGTAAGCCGGGTATGAGAGAAAAGCTTTCAGAGTTTTCCTTTTCGATGACATAAACCGGATACGTGTATGAGAATTAGTTTCCGAGATATATGTTTTTATTTTGGATACCTTTCACCCGGACATTCTATATTTTGTTATTGGTGTTTTTAATGACATTGGCAATAGCTGTTGTTATAGAGCGCGCGAATAGCAGGATAATTAATGAATAATGTATTGCAAATAGAATGGAAGAAAGCGACCGTGCTTTTAAGTTGTTCTGCTGTCGCTCCATTATTGGAAAATCTGAGGAAAACCTAAGATGGAAAAGCCGGTTGCCAGATTGAAATTTCAAACCCGGACATCCGGCATACGAAACAAAAGTGCTTCCAAATCCACCGCACAGTTTGATGACTTTGCTTTAAACCGAACTGACAGTAATGTAACAGCCGTTGAGAACTCAACAGGAAGTTTCGTCCTTCGTTTGTTTAAGCTTGCGTACTATTAACTTCCTTTGCTTTGTTGCGTATTCCTTTCCAGCCCATCGTACCATTGGATGATGTGTTGTGGTAAAAATTTGCCATCTCCCACGGATAACACACAAACAATCGATCGTATAACCTCTTCTTTATAGAATAAAATATACATCACATATCCACATCAGAATATTATTAATACTCGTCGAACATACACGATGCATTGAAGCAAGACAATTTCCTTGTTCATCATGTACTATATAACTTTAAGTTGATTA